TGCTTTTTACGAGAATCAGATTTTCATTGCTTCATTCAATTGCTCTCCTCTGCCATTTTTTACAGCTCTTATCGTTCCCTTGGAATATGGCCTTGAGACAGCTCATCCGTGTCCTTCACTGTGTTATCTCTTCTAACTTTTATTAAAACTTCAGCTTTCATCTGAAGATAGCTAATTAAATCCATGACAGATTATACACTCGTTTAAAAACTGCACTGAACTACTACTTCTAAACAGAACAGGGTTTATTTTCTTTTCACATAGTTAGAACTAAGGGTATATAAGGAGGTTTCATTCATTTACAAAGACAAGATGCTTATCTTTACCTAGTGTATAGAAAGCTTTATATTAAAGTTCTTTGGTTGCCTGACAAGACCAGGGCAATTTCTCACAATAATTATTTCTTGTTGCTGAAAAGATATCTCAGCCCTGTACTTTTTCTTTAAAAATATATAATATATATGTGAATGTACATTTATAGGCTGGAAAAGTGTTGCTGTGACATAGAGTGAAAGTACTGTACATTTTCTTCTCTTACTGTACCTTTCATTTTCAAATGTTCATCTGGCTTTACTATCATAGCATTATTTTAACAGCATTGCAGGAAGCAAATATTTTTCCCTCTAAAAGGGAAAATTTAAATTACTTAAAACCATACTAAGCACTATTGCTTTACAAAAATTAAAAGCATAGAAATTGTATCATTTGTCCTTCCACCCTTCATGTGAAACTACCACTAGCTGGACTTGAATGTAAATGGCTTTGTCATCACAAATAGATATTTGCAGTAACAAATACATTACTTCACAGCAAATGTTATGCAGCTCCTTCACTGTCTGGTTTTTGCTGGTATCTAGAACACAACCTGTGCCTAGAACTGCTTCCGAGTGGGGCTGAAAATCACAATACTGAAAAATATTCCTGACAGTTAAAAAGAGATGTAAAATATGCTCATGGAAAAAACACTCTATCTTCTACAAAATACAATAAATAACCCACCTGAGCCTCTTTGTGATCCTTTCCTTCTCTTTAAGGCCTTTTGTAAGATATCCTTCATGGTGACCTTCATACTGTCCACCTGAATAAGTGAGAATCCATGAGCAGCATTTCTGCAAGACAGATGCAGAGGGAGGTTACGAAGCAGCCACACCAGGCACCCTGCCCCTGCGCCCGGGAGACACCGCACCGACCAGGGACAGAAACCCAGGAAAGCTCCCGTGGAAAAGCGGCAACAGAAACACAAAATAATGCACTGAGGGTCAGGGTGTTGAGGGATTTTCCTAACTCACCTTAATTTTTGACCAGCTTGTGTTTGTCATTAAAGAAACAAACAGAACCCCTCGAGTACTCGCTATTAAGTATTGCTAAGCGCTTCAGAGAATGTACAAAAGAACAGTTTGCGGTGTTCATTTCAGAGACGTTCCAATGACACATCCAACAGATCATTAAGGGGCGGTGGAAGAACAGCAGCAGCCTTTCAGCAATATTAAAGCACAACATTCTTTTAAATACAAATACGCTGCTTTTGGGGCCCCAGCACAGGCTCTTGCCGGGATGGCTGTGGCTGCTCTCCCGGCTGCTCCTACGGAAGGGCTCTGCTTGGAGCAGGCACGGGAACAGCGGGAGGTGGTTATGGAAGGCACGGGCAGCATCGCTGGGGAAGCGGAGAGGTGATGATATCGTAACGGAGCCGCTGAACGAATGCAGCAGCAAATCCTGCCCGCAGCGCTCGCAGTGACGGCGCTCGTGTCAGTAGATGTCACTGCAGACAGTG